TGAAGGATGTACATATGACCCCTGGACTCATCGGGGTCCTCATAGAGCAGAAGATGGGGCTGATGAGAGCCTGGAACCCCGAGTCTAAGGGAAGAGGGCTGGGACATGGACTCCTGGATCTGAGGGAGGGGGCTGGAGTCTTGTTAAGCTAGGCTGCACATTCCTGAGTAGGTAGGGTCCTGGGGTTTCAACTGCGGGGTTCCAGGGGTGAAGCTGGGGGATAGATGCTCACGTTGCCAAAGTCTCCCCTCAACAGGACCGACGGGGTTGACATGACTCAGTGAGGGAAGCGGTGTTAGAGCTGGGTGGGGTTCCTAACATGGGAGTCACCCCCCAAAAATGTAGGAGGCACCAGAAAATTGGGGTGTCACCTATAGAGAAGGTAGTATCGTCACTCCACTAGGTATGGACATGGGGTGATGGCAGATGGATAACCCGCTGGTCTGGGATCACAGCTTTCCCCCACGCCCAACACACCAGGGCCCAAGCCTCTCGGCACCTCCCAGATGGCTGGTTCTCTCTGTCTCCATCTGGGCAGTAGTCCCTTGCCCGTGCACATCAGCCATAGGTCCAGGAGCCTGCATGCGTGGGGGACATCTCCCCACTTGCTTCCTGCATCCCGGTATCCCCATCTCTGAGTCTCCATGTGTCCAGTTCCTCATCTCTTTCTCCATCTCTGCAAATCTGTTTCTGAATCTCTGGGTCTGTCTCCCCATCTCCCAGTCTCTCTCCTCCCAGGCTTTGTGCCTCTGTGTCCATATCCTGGGGTTTCTGTCTCCTATTTCAGGGTCTCTCCTCACCTCTCCCCATCTCTCCCCTTCGCAAGCCTACTCCTTGGGGGCAGCCATAGGGCCCGTCTCCCTAGCTGTCCAGACTATGGGCTTCATTCAAGTGACTCCATCATCTCTGAGGACCCTCAGGCTCCCAAGATGACAATCTGAGTTGTTCTCAAGTTTCCTCTTCTGATGCAGCCTGGGGGCCCCAATTAGATATAGCGAGTCATGTAGATGAGGAAATCGGGACTGGGGAAGCTGTGAGGTGGCCTGTTTGGGGGTGAGGAGAGCAGGGAGCAGGAAGAGGTGAGGTCTGGGGAGTTGAGAAGTGCTATGGCCCAGCCACTAGGCATCTGGCCTCTGTCCCCCTCAATGGGGTTATCAGATACAGGGTGTCTATTTAGTTGAAATTTCAGATAAACAATGAATATATTTTATTTTAGTGTTAGTAAGTTCCATGAACTATTTGGGACATACTTATACTAAAAATTTATTTCATTGCTTTTTGTTGGTTTTGTGGTACTGCAGATTGAACCCAGGGGTGCTTTACCATTGAACTGTATCCCCAGTACTTTTTTTTTTTATAAAAAATGAAACACACACACACACACACACGTGTGTGTGTGTGTGTGTATGTATGATGTAAATGGACACAATGTATATGTGTGTGTATATGATGTAAATGGACACAATACCTTTATTTTTATTTTATTTATTTATTTTCATGTGGTGTTGAGGATCAAACCCAGTGCCTCACACATGCTAGGCAAGTGCTCTACCACTGAGCCACAACCCCAGCCCCTCAGTCCTTTTTTATGTTTTATTTTGAGACAGTCTTGCTAAGTTGCTGAGGTTGGCCTTGAACTTGCAATCCTCCTGCCTCAGCCTGCCAAATTGTTGGGATTACAGACTTGCACCATGGTACCGGGCTTGCGTCTCACTGTGTTACCCAGGTTGCTCAAGTACTCCTGGGCTCAAGTGATCCTCCTGCCTCAGCTTTGCCTAGCTGGTGCTATCGATGTACACCACCATGCTGTGCCGTTTCTTGTATTTTTACTTGCCAAATCTGGAATCCTACCTTCAAAGAGAGGAATCCAGGACTAAGGCCCCCTGTTTTCCAGAACCCAGATGTCCAGGCCTCAGCTCTTCTTTCTCTGGACCTGAGAGTCTATGTCCTAGTCCCCCTCATCCCCTCCTTGAGAATGAGTGGGGCGCCCAGCCCCCTACTCTCTCAGCACATAGAAGTCCAGGCTTCTAATCCCTCTGTCTTCAGAATCCAGGCATCCGGGTCTGAACCCGGTTGCCCAACATGGGTTTCACAAGGCAGATTGTGCCATCCATGGCTCTGGTGGAACCGGTCTAGCTGAGCAGACAAGAAGGGGACCCTCCTTCCCATCCTAAACCTGCTGTTTCCTTGAGGGACTGCCCAGCGGGACAGGAGGGACTCAGGGAGTTGTGGGTGTGTCACTGGGTCTGGTTTGGGTGAGTTGTGTCTCCGTGTGTGGTTATGTGACTGTGTGGGGATTGTCTCTTTGCATTGCTTCTGTGCTCTCTAGTGTGACATGTGAAGGGTCCCTTTTATATCTGTGTTGTATTACACACCTGTGATTCTATACACTGTGCATTGGGTTGGGAAATGTCCTCAGTTATTGTAGAACTACAATTCCTGCTGGATTAAGGTGGCAAATATTTATTGAGGGGTAGCCTTATGTGATGGAATCTGGAGCCAGAAGACCTGGGTTCACATCCTACCTGCCTCTTACTGGCTGTGAAACCTTGGGCAAGTCATTGAACTTCACTGCTCTTCATTTTCCCCATATGTAAAATGGGTTGTTGCAAATAGAGTTGTTGAGAAGATTAAAAGAATCAATTCATGTGAAAGGCTTATGATTATGTCAGGTACACAGGAAACATTTTGGATTTATGGTGAAGATGATGGTGATGATTATGTTCTGTTCATCCCTGGAGATTCAACAGTGGACAAAATCCAGTCTTTGCTCATGTTCTTTCTAGCAGGGACTGGATCCATGGCTTATCAGGGGCTGGGCATATAATTGCAGAGCCGGGTCTGTTTGCACGTGGAATACGGTATTTCTGTGAGTGCAGGTGATTCTGTGATGTGTGCTTTTTGGTGCTTGTAGGTGACTTTATGTGGCATGTGTGCCTCTCTGATTATGTGTGTGCAAATGCAAGATCACACCTCACATATATTACGAGGGACCTCACATATATTCCGAGGGAACATGTTTGCTGTGAAACTTGTGTTTCCAACTCCAAGGTGCTGGGAGTGTGTCTGGAGCCTTGAGAACCCCTTTCTTAGCCCCCATGCCACTCCCCTGTACATCCCACAGGTGACCCTGGGAGGCTGACTTCTTCCAAAATGAGCCTGAATTTCTTTCCAGTGAGGTTAGTGGGCCCAGTGGCTTTGGGAGAAATGCAAGGGTGAAAGGGAAGGTGGGAGGAGACTGTGAGGCCAGGGAGAGGCTGAGGAACATGACAGTGACACAAAGGGAGATGGTGGGGTAGGGACAGAGGAAGAACTGCAGAGACAGGTATTTGTCCCTGTGTCTCTGTGCAGACATGTTTATCCATGATTATGTACTGAGTCTCTGCAATGTGTCAAGACTTCTAGGGGACATCCGTAGAGCTATCCAGATAGATGAAGACCCACCAGGAAGCTGTTATTCGCCCAGGGTGACCCAACTGTCACTTTGATGGGCTACAGTGACAGTTTTGAGTAAAGGAGATGCGAAGATGGTGAGGGAGAGGAAGGGCACTGCCCATTTCCAGTCCTCCCTGAGGCCTGATCTGTTCAGATCAAAGTACTGGAGAAGGAAAGGACCCTCCCAGGCCAGGGGCCCCCCATGAATCACTTTCTTATCATCTCTTAATGGGATAATGACATACCTGCTTTGTCCTAATCACCATTTTCTACCCCAACTAGGCCCAACACCCATAGCAAGAAGGGTTAAAAAGCCTGGTGTCATGGAGACAAGGATGGAAATACCTGGAGTCCCTATCCTTGCCACCCCCAATGACCCTGAAGTCTCAGCTTTCAGATCTTCTCCTTTGGTTCACTGTCTGCCATTTATTCTCTCTTTGGGCCAGTCTTTATCTCTTCATTAATTTATCTCTGTCTTAATTTTGTGTGTGTGTGTGTGTGTGTTTTTCCTGTCTCTTTACATCTGTATCTTTTTTTTTTAATCTGTATCTTGATTCTCCTGCACTGGACCTCAATTTTCTCACTTGTAAAATGGGGATAATAATAATAATAATGATAATAATCTGATCTCTTAGAAGTGTGAGGAGGAAGACATGAAATAATTATGTGAAATGCTTAGCACAGAACCCAGATCACAGTAAATTCAGTACAAGAGAACTCTATTATTATTATTGTTTTATTATTTTTATCTCTCCATTGGTATCTGTGTTTTTCTCTTTGTCTCCAAGTGCATCTCAAGTCCCCTCCCTCCCTGGTATCCTTTTGTAGACAGCGCCCTGCCAGCCCCTGGCTTCTCTGGTAGGGACTGACGTGGAAAGGGCATATCCAGGCCAGAGCGTCTGTTCCCTCTCCATCTGTATTCCATGCTCCACCTCAGGACACAGAACACTTGCCTGGGGGCAAGGCCTGGCTCCAATCCCATAAACAGCCTCATAAAATCCTGAGCCCCAAATCTGTCATATCTGGAAAGGCCAGTGACTCAGGATACAGGAGGCCAGGTCCCTAGATCTCAGTCTTTCAGGTTCCCCAGCCCACTCCTGTCTCAGACCCAGAAGTTAGGACTCCCCCAGTCCCTCCTTCTCTCGGATCCAAAGTCCCCTGCTTCTTCACGATCAAGGAGCCTGGCCTTGATCTCTCAAGACCCATGGCCTCTCAAGACCCCATCCTCCCTCAAGACCCAAAGATGAGATCAGCAAAGAAGTCAGGTATGGGCACCAGAAACCCCATTCTGGGCCATTCTGTCCCGGACCGCGCCCTCAGTCACCAGGCTCTTCAGTCTCTCTTCAGGGGTGGGTCTGACACGTGAGGCATTCTTCTGGAGTCTAGCTTGCAATAAGCTACCCATGACGTCAGTCACTATCATCCAGCCAATAGACGCTCCGCTTCCCACCTCCCCAGGCCTCTCCGGACGCTTTTGCTAGTGGGCGGGGCCCGCAGCCCAAGTCCGAAGGCGATAGGTTCTCGTACGTGCCAGTCTCCTCCAGTCCTTGCCAGTTTGCCAATAGACTGGGAACTGCTGGGTCCCGATCCAGGTCGGCTCCGCAGAGGCCAGAGCAAGCTTGCGGGGAAACCAGTTATGCGGGTCCAGCCGGGTAAGCCCTTTCCAGAATGACCAGTATTGGGATTCTGACCATAGCTCGGACGGGAAACTGCCAGACTGCGGCGGAGGGGGGAGCTCGACCAGGGCGAACCCATATTGCTTTATTGGAGAAGGTGTCCAGGGACGCATGATCTCGGATCTTCATCCATCCCTTCCTTCCACCCTGAACTTGATTCTCATCTGCCTGCTCTGCTTTTCCTTCCGTTCAGTCTTCCTCCTCCCTTTAATTCCCTCACTCGCAGATTCCCTCGTATAGCCATTCACACCTCACTCACCCCCCCCCCATTACTTAAACAAACATTTCCTCAGGCTTCTGGTGTGCCAGCCCTGGTGCTGGGCCATGGTGGTGACCAAGATGAGTCAAGCTCAGGCCCTGCCCTTCAGGAGCCCCAGTCAGATGGGAGGAAGGACATTGATGGGCAGGGTGTGAAGTGGTGGGGCAGCCCAGGAGAGCCTTTTGGGGGGCGGGGGTTTGACTTGTCTGGAAAGGATTCCCAGAGGAGGAGCCATTGGAGTTGGATCTTGGGAGAGCAGGAGGTGCCAGGCAAAGGTGAAGAGGGTGTGGGAAGGATGTTTTAGTCTGTGCAAAGGCAGGGAGGTGTGCAGGATCATTAGGTGCCCAAGCAGAAGGCCAGTCATGACCTCTAGCAAGGGAACTGTAAGGCTGGAATAGGATGAGGATGAGGCAGTGGGCAGAGGTCAGGCTGGGGGACTTGGACTTTGTCAGGGTGGGGTGGGGAATGGGGAGCTACACAACAGTTTCGAGTTAGGGGTGGCCCGGTCAGAGCTGGGATCAGAACTGGAGGAATGAGACTGGAAGCTAGTGACCCAGGTGGTGGCCTTTCCAGGGACCCAGGCATGAAAGGATGGAGCTTTGATCAGGGAAGAAGCCGAGGGGATGAGACCGAGATTCAGGAGGCAGAGAGAACAGAATATGGGGTTGATGGGCTATGAGACGAGGGGGTGATCTGGACAAGACCTAGTGCTCTTCTCCTTCTCAGGATTCCAGGTGCCATTCCCAGGTGCCATTTTCAGGTGCCATTCCCAGGATGGGGGACAGGAAAAAGGAACAGGTTGGCATGTCATGACTGTTTTGACAGAGATGAACTTAGAGGTCCTGGGAGCAGTGTGTGGATCTGGATGCTCGGCGGAATTCTGGGCTGTGGCTCCTCCCCATCATAGGTCTTGACTTCAAGTCAGTTGTTGGGGTGAATGAGGGCCTCTAAGATGGGGATCCGTTCACTGCTTCTCCTCCCCTCGGGAAATGTCTTTTTCTTTTTCTTTTGGTACTGGGGATTGAACCCAGAAGTGCTTTACTACTGAGCCACATCCCCAACATTTTTTTAATATTTTAATTTTTTTTAGCTGTAGTTGGACACAATACCTTTATTTATTTTTTATGTATGTGCTGAGGATCGAATCCAGTGCCTTGCACGTGTTAGGCGAATGCCCTACCGCTGAGCCACAACCGCAGCCCCCCCAACATGTTTTTAAAAAAATATTTTTGAGTTGTTGATTTTTTTTAAAAATATTTTTTTAGTTGTACACAATATCTTTATTTTATTTACTTATTTTCATGTGGTGCTGAGGATCGAACCCAGGGCCTCACACATGCTAGGCAAGCGCTCTACGTTGAGCCACAACTCCAGCCCCTGAGTTGTTGAATTGTTGATGGGCCTTTATTTACATGGTGCTGAGAATTGAACCCAGTGCCTCACACATGCTAGGCAAGCGCTCTACCACTGAGCTACAACCCCAGCACGTTTTTTTTTTTTTTTTGAGACCCGGTCTCACTAAGTTGCTTAGGGCCTTGCTAAGTTGCTGAGGCTGACTTTGAACATGGGATCCCCCTGTCTCAGCTTCCCTAGCTGCTGGGATTACAGGTGCGCACCACCATGCCCTGCAGGAATTTGCTTTCTTGTGCTTCTTCATCTTCTGTTCCTGGTGGTATTAGAGCATGTTCCATCATCTCTAAATGTACACAACCCTGCATCAAACTTCTGTGAATTCTCTCTTATCCCTTTTGCTGCCAAAGACTTGTGGTACCTACTGGCCCAATTCCTTTTCTTCTATTTCCTCTTCAACCTACCATATCTGGCTGCCCACGTCCCACGGCCCTGCAAGGGCTCTGCCCAAGGTACCCAAGTTCACCTGCTCATTGTTGAGGTCTGAGGATAACATTTCAATCCTCCTCTGTCATAGACCACTCCCTCCTGCCTGAAATTCCCTTTGCTTTACATCCTCTTTCCTGGCTTCCTTCCTTCTTCTCCAGCTGCTCCTCAACCCACCAGCACTCCCCTCCCCTGCTGACCCCTTTACTTGGCACAGTGCCTACTCTTCCTAAAAAGGTCCCAGTCAAAAGTAGTGCCCACACTGCTCTCCTCCTGTTTCCTGGATGCTCCTCTACAGGGTCTCAAAGAAACCTTCGGTCTGTGTCCACACCAGCTCTCAGCATCACCCCCTTCACATATACACACTGAGCCTCCACCCCATGAAGAGACAGCTCGCTGTCCTCCTGCTTCCCTGGCCAGACCTTCATCCTTGCTCCCCTGTAACTTTGTCCCTACCCTCAATAAATCCTAATTGCCCAACCTCAGTTATGGCTCTGGGATGTTCTGCCTATACTCCCTACCCTTGTGGTCTCTGTTCCAGCTCAGGTCTTGCCCTACCTCATCCCCAAGCTCCTCCTCTGCCTGCAGGGGTCCAGTCTTGCTACTTTCAGTCCATCCCCTAATGCCCCAGCAAGCACTTCCTGTGCTGGAACTGATCCTGGCCCTTTCTTCCCTAGGGTGCTTCTGTGGCTGCCCATTGCCCTCCCGCTGTAGTTCAGCTTCACTCCAGGCTCTTCAGGACCTGCCCCTGCTGGCCACTCCAAGCCTCTCCTTCCCCATTTTGCACCTGATCTGGCCAAATGGAGACCCTGATCACTGCCCACCGGCCTTTCACAGCCTAGCATACTTCTCTGCCTAGCTCATCTGTGCTCATGCTTTAAGGCCAAGCTCTGATCACCTTCTCTTGTGAAACCCTTCCTGACCACACAGAACCCCTAGGGGCTGTAATATCCTGTCTGCTCCTTCACCCTCCTTGAATTCAGGATCGAAAGCCTCTTGAGGACATTTCCTGGGTGTAAACCATCTCCACTCCAAACCTGGGGCCCCTCAAGGGGTAAAGCCTCTAGAATTGGTTGAGGGAGGGACTGTCCAACTGGGCAGAGCTTCCATTTCCAGTATTTTGGGTGACCAGTTTGTTTCCAGTTTCCTGCCAACTTGGCTCCAGTTCTGTGGGGAGTTTGGGCCACTGGCATCTCTGGGTCAAGAGGTTTATGTATTTTTTCCTTGATGGATGCCCACTCTGGGATTGGAAAGGGAGTAGCCTTTCCCCTTGCAGTCCCTCAGTGAGGGTGTAAGACGATTTATACCCTCACTGAGGGTCTGCAAGGGGAGGCTCTGGGAACCCAGGGTCTCTAGGCGTTCTACCTGATTTAAAGCCCAGGGGTCTCTTGTTTGTAGGAATCTCCTCCTCCAACAAACAACCCCCACACCCTCCAGGTTTCTTGGTTCCCCCCAGCTGAGTCCGATGCTGCCCCCTACTGGGCAACCACCCGCCTACTTGAGAGAGGCCAAAGTAATTAAATATTTTTATTTAGAAAAAACAGAACCGACCAGCAGCAGCAGACGGCAGTAGTGGAGTGCAGGTCCAGCTGTCTCGGTGACCAGTGTGTGTGCGCCCCTCCCCTGGCCCGAGTCTCAGCTTCCGGCTCCTGCCCCGCCCCTGTGGTCCCCGGTCTTAAGGCACAGCCCACCCCCGCCCACCCGGCCTGGGGCCGGAAGAGTCTGCAGCCCCGCAAGGGGCCCCCAGGCTGGTCCCTGAGCGCATTCACCGCATTCACCACGGAGGCCGGTGCAGGTGGGAACAAGGTCTTTAGTGTCGTCCCCGCAGCCCCATCTCCCCGCGCGGCCTGGTCGGGCTCAGAGCGGCGGCGGCGCGGTGGCTGCGGCGGCGGCCGGTGGAGTGAGGATGAGGCGGATGCGCTCCACGCACAGCTCCGCGGCTTGTCGCGTCTCGCGGCACAGCGAAGCCAGGCTCAGGAAGCCGTGCGGCAGGTCCTCCACCACACGCAGCGTCACGGGCTGGCCCAGGGCGCGCAGTCGCCTCGCGAACATGACCGAGTCGTCCAGCATGGGGTCCAGGGCGCACGCCTGTGGGACGCACGTGGGGACGGACAGACGGTGGACGTGGGTTGGACAACGGAGAAGGGAGAGGGAGCACGTGGACACGGACATGGGTTGGACAGAGGCCAGAGATATGGGGGGCGGGGAGTTGGGAGAATGGAGGGAACAGGTGGAGATGAAGGAAGGGTGAGAGGGTGTCACTGCACTCCCTGGCCTTTGCCCTGTCTCCCCTTCCCCACCCACCCAGAGACCCAGCTTTTCTCCCTAAGCCCCCTGCCCAGCTCTTGAAGTTCCACAAAATTGCAAATGGGAAGGACAGCTGGATTCCCCACTGTCTACCTTCTTGGCGCCCCAGGCACTGTCCTCTCCTGGTGGCACACCTTTCCCCTCTGCCTGCTAACTACCTTGTTCCCATTCTCCACTGCTCCTCCCTGGGGCACCTGCATCCAGCCCTGCCTCACCCCACCAGGGCCTGGCTGCACCGTCCCAATCCTTGGCTCACCACGATGTGCACAGGTGGCAGGGTCTTCAGCATATTGTCAGGTGCCAGCAGAGGCGACATGAAGGGGTTCTTGACAATGGGTGATGAGTAAAGGGGCATTTGGGTGGCACCCTGGCTTGTACGCCGTGGGTGGAAACCCACAGGGAAGGCATTGCTCACCCCGGAGCTACTGTCCTTGGCGCTTAGCCCTTCTTTGGCCTCTGCCTCTTCTCTGGCATCCTCAGGCCGCAGAAAGAAGTTAACATCAGAGGGTGTGGAGGGGCCCAGTGTCTCCACAGACAGCGACATCTCAGGGGTCTCTGATGTCTCAGAGCTGCT